TCACGCTGGTCAAGATTCTTGAAACTTACCTGAAAAAGTTCATGTGATGTGCAAAGAGTACACCTAAGAATGATGCTTTTTCTATCCTCCCGTTCTCCTCCCTGGAGAACGAAGTGATTTACACCTTTCTAATTGTAACTTCATTTCAAATCATGTATCATAAAGCCTGCTCTGCTGTGCCTGGCATTTTCTTCTGGTTAGCTAGTTTTCTTTCACAGAAATTACACAACGCATTAATACACTAAGCATGGGGTTTCAAACCATCTCCCTCCCCTCCTCAGACACACACATCGTTGCTTTCAAAGGTCTTCATGTCACAATGCTGACCGTTAATTACCTCAGGACCTGGCATGCTCTTATCTCCCCACAGGAGTTCACTGCCCTTGGAAAGGATTAGAATCCAAACTTCAGAAACAGTTTCTTCATCGGATTGAGAACTGCACTTCACTAGACTCAATTCTTGCAAAATCAGGCAAAGAATGTGATTTTATGAACATGTCAATTTTATTTTTCCCCAACAAAATTTGCAGTGCATTGTAGCAGTGACTCCCTGAGAAGGACTGGAACAAGAGCTATATCCAACAGAAGTGCTAATCACAGTGAGCACAAAGAGAGGGCAGCTTCACTCTGTAACTAATATAACAATAAAAGGGTTATCCCACCTTCTTGCAACCTGCCAAGCCCGCAGCTGCCAGGCCCAAAATGCAGCTCACTGATCCAAGAGAAAACTGAGCTACCACAAGAAATGCTCACCTGCAAAACTTTTCAGGATTTGGCCCTGAGAAAGCTCTAGGTGCAATATGCATGTGCAGTGCGCTGCTTTGTTTCTCGCTTCCCCTCAGCAGGGATGGAAATTCAGATGAAATTAGGAGGCGGAGATCACTTACCAAGCACTATCACCAGCGACACAGACTTGGGTAAAAGGCTTAATAACATGTAGGCATGAAAATATGTTTGCTAGTAAGAACAGCAGCTTCCCTCAGCCTGCTTCTTCTCCACACTTACCCAGCTCCACGTGGGTCCTTCTCGCGGGCTGCAGCTCCCCGTGCCTGGAGCACCCCATCTCCCCTCACCACACGCCTTGCTGCTTGGCGCCATTCTGTGCTTCTCTGAGCGCTGCTGAGGGAAGCATCTCACCCAAGATGGCGCCCTTGGAACTTTCCGGAAGTGACCCAAAATGTCTAACAACATTTCTATTTCAGTGGTAGTAAGCACAAACTTTACAATCCAGGCAAGCATGGTGGTTTTTGGCACTTCACCCTGAAAACGGTGGTTTTGCCACTGGTAAGCTGGATAAAGCAAAACCAAATTCTTGCTGATGTTTGTGCTGTAGCACACAGTGTATCCCATACTACTCCAATACCTCTCAAGGGAAGCAAGAATTGTAAAAATTATCCCCTTTACAAAAAATATTTAAATTACAAAAAAGTGCTGAAAGTCCTTGGCTAGCAAAGAGCTCCATCTGCAGCAAAGTTATAGCGGGACTTGCAATTGTTTAAAGGAAAGACTGCACGTTGATTCTTTCACCTCACTTCTCAAACTCCGCACACCCACTAGATATTCCCAGATAATCCAGAAAAACAAGCATCAATCATCCAAATACCTTGCTCAATCTCATTTCTGAAGTCTCCAGCGTTAGCGTTAAGGGACTTATAATGTTCGACTCCTCCGAGAGAAACACTTCAAAGACTGACGTCCTGGCTCTGCCAAAGCTGATGGCTGAGCTCCTAATGACTTCACTGGAGACACGATCTCATTTCAAACATTTGCCTTCAACTAGTGCTTTCTGAGAATTGCATTTTAGCAACTTCACAAGGCCTTTGGTTTCAGAGCTGAGGTAGCCTCTTTCTATATAAGTACATGGATGTTTACACCAGTGTGATGGAATGTAATACAGTGAGCAACACTAGCCTAAATATCTATTACAATATATTGTAATTGACTGATAGAATCCCAAAGGGGTGGGGAGATGCACCTCTGCACAAGCTGCAGAGCTCTTCTGTTAGTCTGCCTGGATGATATACTCCTGCACCGCGTGCACAGCAACAGCCAAGTGTGTCCAACATTGCAGAGTCTGACGGGGGTTAACCACACAAGGACATGCCACCCATAGTCCTCTGCAGGTTTATACAAACTCCAGCTGAGCAGTTGTACTGTCTTCTCCGCAGGCTAGTTGGAACCTGCCCTTCCACATCACCCCCAAGGGACTGGTGATCATAGTAGCTTTTGGTGCAGGTTGGTTTGTCTCAAGCTTCTCATATGCTAGTTAAGAAGCAAGATAAAGCAGATACTTCAAACTCTTTTAGCCTGGAAACCACACTTACAGACTCATGCTATCTGTAGTATCTAAGGACTTCCTGCCTTCCTTGGCCTATTTCTACAAATCTAAAGAGGACCACAGCTACTCATTGCCTACACGCCTGCACAACTCGCATCCTAGGAGCTACTCTCATCCTTGAAACCAGCAGCCAAGATCCAGGAGCTACTTAACCCACCACAACACATGTGCTCTCTTGTACAGTAATGTATGTTGACACTGGGGGCAGGAGAGTTGGCTAAAGATACTGCAGCATCTGGAAACTGAGGAGTCTGGTCAGATGGCACTTCTGTATTAGGATGGGGAGCACAGAAAGGAGAGCATAACCTTGCAAGGAATTGTGAACTTAAAAGTTAGTAAAAGAAAGCAGGACATAGGAGGTAAAATACATGTACTGCATTCCCATCACACAAAAGACTTCTGAGGCAACCAGAGGTGTTGTGGTCAAGATACAAAACCATAGGAAAGCAAGTCTCACCATGGCTGTTGCTTTCATATTCACCATTTCATATGGTTTTCTTAGGCACATGACAGACGTTTATTGGGCTCAAATCACTATTAAGAGATCTAGCTAATTTTTATGGGGATTTATTGCCCAGGTTAGGTGAATGAATGATGAATACTGCATCACTATTGGTCCTTAGACAATAAAACCACTCCTTAACTCTGTACTATCCTGTAATGGAGCAAATGATCAAGCATAGGGCTATTAAAGCAGAACAGCCTCCAACCTCCTACAGTTTTCTGTTTTGAATAAATAAATAAATAAAATTAAAAAAGGAGCAAAAAGAAAACAGCTCTTATTTATCAGTTGTGCTATCTATAGGGCCATTAGAAACTATGGTGGCTGCGCCTATTCCACTTCTAATACCATAATAATGAGTGGTTTCGGACTCCTTATCCAGACTCTGCTATTAACTTACATTTTAGTTAACAACAGCGGTTACCACAGCCTTGTTAATACCCTTGATATTTTTTAACTGTTCTCGCTTCCACCTTCTTCATCCCCAGCATCTCCCATATCGACCTTTACAATTTCAGTGAACTGGGCTCCCACTTCCTTGCCAGTCAAATCACTTTCATCTCACACCCTTTCTAGAGATCAGTTCGTAAGCAGAGAAACACACTCTTCGTACCTACAGAATACACAAAGTGGAATTCAGATCACTACTACACTTTACTGTGAGAGGCTATTACAAGCTTTTAGAAGTAAAATTTATTATAACAGATTAGTGACTACTCTGGCACCAACTTGTCTGCTAGAAAATAACCAAGGACATGTAATTGTGTGTTTGAGTACAAAATCAAGAGTATTCAAATTGTTTGTATTTATATGTGTTTCATCTGGTTATCCTTCCTTTATAATTTTAGACAGCTACTGCCACCAACTGTGTAATTTCCTCTTGGACTGTATCTGTTTGTGCCAGTGGCAATGGTTACTTGTCACGTACAAGAGTTTACAGATCACTTCATTGCTAAGTGTCTATCCTCACCACTTACTTTTCATTAAGCCCTTTTGAAGTACAAAATAGACCTGGAAGCAGAATTAGACCCACAGTTAAGGTCGCTTAAGAGCTCTCATTGGCTGAAGGGGGAGTAGGATGATAGGAAGCTGTGCTCCTGCCAGTCTTCATGATTACTGATACAGAAATGCAAATGTCCTAAGATAGTTTTCTTTTCATGAGTATCAAAGGTATAAAGTCAACTCTGTACCTGGTCTGTGCTCTGTACCTTTCTTGTGATTCTCAGGACAAGAATATCTTTTTCCTGTAGCCAGACAGAAGGAAAAGTTGGACAATGAAAAAAGACACGGCTCAAGTTCAAACAATAACACCTGCATAATTCCACAAAGAAGCCTGGCTTTTTTCCACAAAAGTTGCTTAGGAAGTAATTGATTGGAATATTACATAGAAATGAAAGCAAAAGAAAAGCTAAGCACACTGATTTTTGAGTTATGATTATATATATATATATATATACATATATATACATATATATATATACATACATATGCATATGTACGAATACACACAGAAATAAAATTCTGAGATAGCACATGGGAAAAAGATCATAAATTGCTATCCAGGTCTCCATAACAAGACATTAAGCAAGTAAGTGGAAGAAACAACTTATCAATTTACACATTGCACAAGCCCTTCTGCATTCCTTGTTACATAAAAGTGAATTTATGCCAATGTTTCTACAAAGGCAATACTGAAAAGCACTGGAATGGTTATCTCCATCGCTTTAACTTCTGCAAAAAAATATGCCATTTTCAAATATGGGTACACAAACTCACAAGAATTATAACTGTTCTTCACACATTATACAGTGCAGCACCCACACAATCACTTAATGTTATACATTAGAGAAATTTCAATGGCTCTGACAACTAAACTTCATTGTTATAACATTTCTGAAGTGCTGTATTCTGCACTGCCAAACCTTAACTTGTGTAAACCACTACACTCTTTCACCCTATCAGACCAGACTCTGGCTGTACCTCCAAGGATGCAGATGGACACCTTAGCACAAACTACTTTAGACAGATGCATTCCACTTTTTGGTTTCTCAACCTGAAAAGCTTGTTTCATATTATCTACAAGAATTCATAGAAATATCTTAAACTATAGGATTACACTGATGTCATGATTAAAAACAAAACAAAACAAAAACAGACAAATAAGAACATATCTCAGTGTATTATTTAACATAAGAGTGAAAATGAATTCAGGCTACTAAAATAATGTATTAAGATTTTTATCCATGAAACATTGGTACTACAATCAATGCAACCATTTAATCAGCAGTCGAGTAGGTCTGTTATAGGCAGGCACAACATTACAAAAGAGGATAGTACAATGCCCAATTAAGCAAATACAGTCTGAATACCTATTCATCCACTATTTCTGAAAACAGAATTATCAAATATCCACCAGGGAAAAAGATGAACTAATTTAATTTTTCTTTGGCATACTTATCATGACAATGAATTAATTACAAAAGTCTTCTATTGCTGCCAGTGCTGTAAAGAAAGAAGTACTGAGTGGAAGATTGTATGTGAGAAGTCACTTTTAGGACACGGGCGATCTGGCTAACATATCAGAACTGGTGACAAAAGACAGTTCAGCTGCCAACGCTTCACAAGGCAGACAAGTTTTACACTGTTTCATACTGCAGTTTTGTTGAAGGTGTAAAAAATTACAGTAAATTTATGCACAGTACATATATATTACACACAGTTATATAAATACCCATGCTGTGGCTGGACTTTAGGAAGTTGCTTTATCTGTAAGAAAGCTTCTATCAGAATTCCCAGCATCCATTCAATACACATTGCACTTTGCATCCAGTAATATGCTCATTTCTGTACCTCTCTTAAAAATAGATTTAAAACAGAAGCAAAGAATAATATTGAATCTTTCCATAAACTTTGTTTTCTTATTTACACTGTAATATTCCATTATACATAAAGACTGCATTATTACGATACATTATCTTCATATAGCATTTTGTAATAGATACAGCTTGAAGCTATTAACATCTTAGTTTGGAAACAGAGATATGACTTATAAGATTATTTAGAACAATTCTAGCCTTAATTTTGCTCTAGTTTGTTTCACTGAAACCATTCTTTGACAAAAAAAATTCCTCCTTATTGGGGAGGAAAAAAAGCAATCCATATTTAAACCACCACTGGATTTCCTTAAACCACTGAGAAACTTGGAAACCATAATTGTTTTTGCATACTTATACATCCACTTCAAAGGCCTGTTCCTTTTAAATTTAGAACATGAATGACAATTGTGACCACATATTTAAATTATTATTTCGTTTTAACTTTCAGATATTTCTCAAACATAAAACAATGAGAACGTAATCGCTAATCATATATAATCTTTGTACAACTGGGAAGAGGTCCTATTTTATCAGGGAAAAAATGAACATGCACACACTCCCATTCACAGAGTGAGAACATAAACTACAGCAGCACTTGTCTCAAGTTATGGAGCACATGGTGGCAATATGGTGTATAAAGCAAGGGTAGAATTTCCAACATTTGTTAAGACACACAAAAAAAACTTATTGTAGAAAACGTCATTCACATTCTTTGCAATGAAGCGAGGAATCAGCTGTTCAGCTTTCTGGGCTCTCCAGTCGGCAAACTCCTCCTTCTATTGCTACGGACTGTCCTGCCACCGCTCCAGGAGGAAGTCTTGAAATGTGAGTCTGTGGAAAAGTCAAGAAAGTGTTACCAAGTATGATGAGATGCAAAATTATGTAGGACACAGAACAAGCTTGCAAGGATTGAACAATTCACCTGTTCAATGACTGCAGTCCAAAGGACAAATGACAAAGAAACTAGAAAAGCTGTAAACAATTTGGATTCTTTTGCATTTTGTTTGTCTTAGCGTTTAACACATGAAGAGAATGACCATGACAGATGTGTAGAAAAAGTAAACTGAATGACTCAGTTCACCGAAAATAGAAGAAAGAATTATTCTGCATCAAAACAAAAGAAAAATAACTGAAATTCCATGTTTATTAGCCCATTCCTGAGGAAGATGCAAAGAAAATCAGCACTGAATACAAAAGTATGCTTTAGAGAAATTCTAGAAAAAAAATATTTGTCAGAGATGAACTCATACTTCACAGTACCTGGCAACTGCAATGATGAAAATATATATAAAAGAGTACCCCAAAACCAATTGTGTTTCTGTCAAAACACTTCTGCATTTTCCAGGGAGAAAACTTGCTTGTGTTTTCATATGCACTGTTAATTTTGAGCTAAGCAGAGACATTTTCAGATATATTGGTTGTTTTAATATAGGCCAAGGCTAAATGAATGTTTAACCAAGGCAGTGAAAAGACTCAGAAGCATGTTTCTATAAACTTTGTTGCTTCCAAGTTTCAGAGCTGCTGAATGGGTTCTGGTAAAACATAAAAAAGAGCCTTATGAAACTCTAAAATGCAGTAGGGCTGAAAATGGCATTTATCTGAGTTTGAGGCAAAAGGTGTCACCAGCTCAAGCTATGCTACAGCCACCCCTCTCACTGAAGCACGAGCACAAGTTATGCATTTCATCAGGTGATGCTCCAACAACTTGATGCTTAAGCAATTAATAAATTAGAAGAATTCCTGCTATGATACAAAGCTCACAATAGCAAAGTTACTGGTGTGAGAAATTACAGCTTTCTCTAAGCACAGTCAAACATATTTACGTTTTTGTATGTACATTATTCCATTTAAGTGGTTTAAGTGGTGAAAAATGTATAACAAGCAACAAGGCAATGGGCTGTAAGGGAGTTGGAGGAAATGTCCTTCAAGAACCCACTTCCAACCCAAACCATTTTATGATTCTGTGATGTTTAAAGTCCCACAAGTGTAACTTGCATCAACTGAACAGAAAGATATTTGATACTGTAACCACAATTCATTGCACCCCAGAGAGGTTTTGCCTCTTAGATACAACTTCTTTCAATTCCCTTCTTGATAAGGGTATCCTGGTTTCTGCTCGTAGGTGCTCACGTTTTCAGTTAAATTACAGAATGATATTCAATTAAAAATATTTAAAGGTTTTCATTTTACTACTAAACATTGAGTTGTGGCCTTTGTGCTTGATATATGAACATCTTCCTTCTTTCGGAAAAATTTTGGTATTTATTTACTATTTCAAGAAAAAAAAAAAGATCTTCTCAAATCCCTTAGCTTCTCTTAAAGGTAATTGGCAACTTTATAATTTTTAAGATATTTTCTCATAAGTTAAAACAAAACAAAACAAAAAACAGAGAGAGAGATAAAGAAAGACAAATAAAAGAAGGGTATTTTTGATTCTTAAGGCCAAAGGACTGAAGACATTTTTCCAGGCCTATGAACATTTCTAAATGAAACGTGGGATAGGATGAAAGTGTAAAAACAACATTATTCCAGGGGCACCATAGCCATCTTTCCTCAGCGGACAAATGCCACGGATTGTTCAGCGAGATTCCGCAATCAAAGCAAACCTGTGGTCCAGACAAAATCAAGCATCATTTCCAAGTGAGATTGCTTACACAGTGATCTATCAGAATTATTAGCAGAACACAGCATCGGAGCAACAAAAAGCGCAGAGGCACAAAGATGGGGTCAAGAGGCATAACAAGAAAACACTACCAAAACAGAAGAAATATTAGCACTAGTGGGATTATCACCAATCTTATAATTAATTTTTTCCATTATAACTACAACAGATCTTACTTTGTGTAAATTAGCTTTTTCACCAAAATGGTTGGACTCGATGATCCTTATGGGTCTCTTCCAACTTGGGATATTCTACGATTCTAGTATTATTAATTCATTTTTTGCTTGGGCTTGACTTAACCCACAAGCCAAAGTTAAACGCCTAGTAATTTTTTGGAGTTAGATATGCATAATATCTCAGTAAGATCTTGAGCAAGGAAAGGAAAAAAATCCAAGAGAGGAAAAACAGATATTTAATGCCTATCAGTGTATTATCAAGTACCTACATTTAAATAGATGTCCAAAGCATGTTTCCTATACAAAAACATATTTCGTGTAGAAGGAAAAATGAGTTATCATCTATAAAGAGATAAAAACAAAAAGTCCAGCACCATATAGTAGCACATGTACACTTCCATTTACAGAAACATCCAAGCCACATAACAAAGTCTTTCTTAAAGCCTTTAACTGAACCTTTTCATTTGCATACTTTGTATGACCAAGCAAACACAGACACTATTTTACACTGACTTTTTACTTTCACTATTGTCTGTCGTATGTAGTGCAAAATCCAGATAGGAGATGACAGTATTTAAAAGTTGTTAATTAATAAGTAGTATCAAAGGATAAAATTAACATGTCAAGACAAATTCAGATTAACTTCCAAGTGCATTCTTACAATTATATCTCCTTTGTTCCTAGCCATAAGAATGAACTTGAGTAAATAAAAATAAACTTCAAAGAACACTGAAGACATTTAAAATGCAACCACAGAACTTATTTGTAATGTTTGTTATATTTCAATACCCCCAACATCATATTTTACATTAAGACCAGATTGCACAATGTATTAGACTAAGACTGAAAATATAAGAATATATTTTAAAATACAACAACAAAGAAACAAAAAAGAGAAACATTGGAAAGCTTTTGGTTGAATTTGATTAATACATCAGCTTTACAATCTGAATGAGCCCACATCTGGAGAAAATTGAACAAAAATAGGAAAAGAATAATTTTTTTTCAGAACTAATCCTCCATCGAGCTTCAAGGAAGCCTCTCCTTGAGGAAAAAGGAGCATGTTGAGGAAAGGTAGGTCAAGAATGACAAGGCTATCCAGATCTTTGGCTCCATAAATAGAAATTTTGCTGTCCCTGAGAAATGTTTTGATTTATTTCTCTAGGAAAAAAAGCGAGGTTAGTGAGGGCCTTGTAGAAGCAGAGAAGACAAATGCTAGATTAAGTACTTGATTTTTTCCCCCCCACCTATACAGCTCAACCAAACTAGGAAGCCATCAGATACCGATTCTTGGCGTGTGTGGACCTGCCATCAAAAAACTAAATAAAACTAAATAAAAAAATTAGTCTCTCTTTTCCATCTAACTAAAATAAAATGGTAGAGCAACTAAATCCCTCAGCCCTGCTTCTACAGACACTGCATGCTGAAAGTTACTGTCTCTCAGTTCCTTTTGATGTAGGCTGGAAAGCTTCCCATTGCCCAGTAAGTCCAAAACTAATCAGTCATCCTGCCCTGGAATAAGTGTTAACTGCGACAGGGACAATACATGATTTCATCTTTTCATCAAGAACGTTTGATCAATTTTTTTAAGTTACATATATTTTGTATAATTTTTTAAAAATACTACAAGTTATGCCAAGACTTACTTTACTTCATGTCTCTCAAATAAAGTGTCTGAAACATATTCAAGGCCAACTAATATCAAAAACTTTTCTCCTTCAGTGGTCAAAGACCTAGTTTTCTCCTTTTATTCACATTAGTTTGTTACAACAGCTTCTTTTTTTTTTTTTTTTTTTCCATTAAAAGCATACATACAGTGTAGAATTAATATAATACATAAGCCAAAAGACAGACAACTCTGCATGAGAAAACTGAAGGCAATCAAATGCTGCCAAGAGAACAGAGTACAACTACCAGATGGCAGCACATTCAGTTCTTAAGCAAGTCAAGGGAGTACTTCATGTGTTTAGTTTTCTTATTACATGCTCGGGATGTGCTTTGGATGGAATAATTTATAAAATAAACTTTTTCCGTTCATTACACTATTGAGATGAAATATAATGAAACAGAGACTCAGGAGGTCATGTATAAGGGCTGGTCCAAAAGTAATGCCTCATATTTAATTATGATGGCCCACAGCGTCAGAGGTGGATGTTGGTGAGATGGCAGTAGAAGCTGAACCTTCCCACCAATATCCTTTTACTGTGCAAGGATGGCAGCAGAGGGGCAGTGAGACAATGGTGCCTGACATGGAAGCACGTATGAAACAAAGGCGTGGAACTGAATTCCTCCATGCAGAAAAAATGGCACCCACTGATGTTCTTCAATGCTTGCTGAATGTTTACGGACAGCAAACAGTGAACGTGAGCACAGTGAGGTACGGGTGGTGCATTTCAGCAGTGGTGACACAAAAGTGAAGGATCACCTCTGCTGGTGCATATCTTTACAAGAGCAGAACGCAGGCTCTTGTTCATAGCTAGAAAAAATGCAGAGCTCATAGTGTCTGTGTTGAAAAATAGCATCTTGTAGCTGAGCATTTGCTCTATTAAGTAGTACTACTGAGCTCTATCCATCATAGTTTCCATGAAAATACATAGGAGGCATTACTTTCAGAGAAACTTAAATACTTAATTAAATCACTTTCAATTACTTTACTCCTTAAACAAAAGGAATACCAAATCCATAGACTGTTTAGAATCTCAGAATCACTCATAGGTCTGCACACAGATTGTTTAGGAAGCTAACAGATTTCCTAGCTCAAATTCATCCCATGGATCAAATGTATTATTTCACACAATTTGTGCATCTATAAACTTCACACTATAATGCCTTAGAAAACAATGGCAGTTCAGAAAGTTGAAAACCAAAGCATTTTAACCTCTTCATATGATTCATACAAGTATTTTATCTGAAGCTATGTACCAACTAGTGGTCTAATCAGTTCACCACACCTGGCTATTGTAGAGATATTCTAAAATAGTGCCATATGGTTTAAAATGGGATTTTTACTGATGTGAACTGCAGGTGCTAAGTCAGCTTGTTATATTTATATTTGCATACCTAAATATATAAAATCATCTACTCTGCTCCATCCTAAGATATGACAGTCAAATACAAAGAAAGTTCCAGAACTTTTGGCTTCATGAAAGAACTCAACCAAAAAAATTGAACTTATCTTCCCATCTCAAAGCCCATAATTTCCATGATGGTCTACATGCCTAATATTTTAACTGGTATCTCAGCACTGAAGGTTTTTTCCAGCAAGTATAAATATCTTATTTTTGTGAGAGAACTGGATGTCCTGCTGTATGTGAAAAGTTATTTTCAAGTAAGAACCTCTGAATGATTCCCCTGTCTCCAGACAAGAGTGAAGATTAAGGGGAAAAAAGTGTAACAGTGACATACACATTTCCTCTCTCATGAAGTCTGTAGTCTGAAATGAATGACTAAACTTTTTGAATTAGTATTTCTGTTAACTAACCAGGCTTGTTAATTTTTTCCACTAATTTTCAAATTAGAATTTGGATTCTTCCAGTATGTATTTCTTCACCCAGTGAGCACTGGCTGGCTGCCTTCCTCCACAAAAAGGGCTCTCAAACCTTTTACTCACAGAATAAAATACAGATGCTCATTATCAGAAAACTCACAACAGTCCCTACAATCAGTGTTTGTCATATGTATGACTTTAAACACAGAGGAAAATAATTTTGCTAAACTTTACAGAGTTAACGAAGTTGAGCAAATCTGATTATAACACGTAATCTCAACAGGAAGATTGAATTGGAAATGATCTCCCTGTCCACTTGTTTCTTCATACTGAAACATGAAATTAGCTGTCAAACATAAAATTTCTTTTACATATTACAACCGCAACATTTGGTGAATACAGGAGTTGTTGCTGATGGATGTTTTCAAAGACAGCATGATACTCCTCACTACTGGTCCCCTCATCTGGCAAAGCAACTTGAATTTGGTTTACTAGAAAACTGAAAGAATGGCATATATAATCTTGCAGTATGAAAACCTGCATTATACAGCTTATTAATTCATGAACTGTATATGTGCCAAAGATTTACACTGGCAAATGAATCTGGATTTTTCGAAATTAGTTGTCTAGGTCATCTGGCTATTAGAAAAAATAAAACTTATATAGCTGAATTACAATGATACCTCAAAATTATTGCAGAATTTCTAATAATAGCAAGAGTAAACAGCATCTATACATTTTAATGTGACCTGTGCATATCTACTAAGAACCATACTAAGCTGACGAATTACTTCAAATATAGATAACACAGGACCAAAACCACCCACTGTTGGTATTAAGATTAGATTTTTCACTCAGTGAAGGCACTTGTCCTTAAAACGCTATTGACAACATAGCAAGGAAGTCCTGTTTACAAGTAAAAATATCATTCACCATCAGCTATTCTAAATAACTAAGATAATACAAAAACTTGGGGAGGTCCAGAAAAATTTAAGTTCTCTGGTACATCCCGACACCTTTTACTTTTTGCACACAAAATGTGGTGAGCTCCAAGCAAGCAAATACTCTGAAGACCCTGTCAGAACTAAAAGGACTTCTGCTTGATTATGCAAAAATACACAGTGAAAAATCAAATGAAGATTGCCTGCCACCAAACAGAAGCTTCAAGAGGTAGTTTATACGTGCACTTACATTGCAGGCATTTACACTGTTATCTGAGATTGAGGAACTTCTTTTTCTTTGCACCGTCCTCAGTTGAGCTTAGCAGACAAAGAACAAGAAGATACAGAGACTGCAACTCAAAAGTCCATCAACTTGTAATCTATCCACAAATCTCCTTTCCTTCGGTTCTGCATGTACATCTCATATCACAGTATTGTGAATTCAAGGAGTAGTCTATTTCTCCTCATTACATGGCAAAAGGTCTCAAAGCCCTTCATGCAAAGCTGCTACAGTATCTTTAAAGAGCTTGGGCAACTTTTTTAGTTGGTACAATGATCTGCTGTTGGATCTATTGTAGATTCAAAAAAATATCTGTAAGGTTATTTTGAAGACTAGAGTCTCAGAAAGAGAAGAAAGTTTGGGTAAAAGAATTAACAGATTATAAAAGATCTCAAATTTATATCGAGTAATTCACGATCAGCGCCACAAAAACAGAAAGGAATACATCTACCTCTCCAAGTCATAACAAAGACTTTCAGGCCTTCAATCTACAAGATAACTTTTGCTGATGCAGCACTTACCGCTACAAAAGGAGCTAGGTAAGTGCAGAGGAAACCCACAGACTATTATTTTTTATCTTTTCTCATGGCTACGGCCAGAAAGTTCCACAGTGGCCTAAAACATTCAACAGTCCCATTAAATGGCAGAAATAGTAGAGTGTCAGATGATGTGACACAAATGTCAGTGAAAGAACTTGCTTCAGGAGACCTCAGGAGGTCCAGCCGTGTTCATAGTGAACAGGATTAACACTGAAGTAATGTGCCACAGTACTGCTTCACGAAGAAGGACTGGGAAGGGCAACTGCTACAACTGTCCCTTAAGTTCACCATAGCTGAGGGTTCCAGGTTCCAGCTGGGATAAAGCTGTAGCAAGAGGCAGTACAGGTCAATACCAAGAAGCGTCTTTAAAAAGTTACAGTTGTTCAGATAAAACATTTGTTTCCTTCCACATCCAGTGTGTGAACACTGGCACCAAGTAATCATTAAACTGCTAGTGTCAAAAGAGATGGCAAAAAATAAAGAATACAATGATAAATGCTTCAAGCAATTACTTCTGGCAATGATGTAAGGACCCAAGGGCACAAGAACCTGAAGAAAGTGAGATATCCACTAGGCAAGTAGTGAAGATGTTCAGTGTTATCCATTTTATATCCACTTTCAGCACTGAGAGAGAGCCAAAAACAAATAATAGGACACACAATCAGAGTTGACTGCATTAGCAAAAAAAAGTGTGAGCTTAGTTCATCTGGGAAGCCTCCACGCTATTTTTAAAGAACGAGAACTTTCAACCAACATTTTAAAACAACGCTCAACAGAAAACTGATTTTTTCAGGCAACTGGTTTTCCAAAAACAAACAAACCAACCAACCCACTGGACATATTTCCAGAAAGTATGTTTAAATCAGTTACTAGTCAGAGTGCAAAACTGTTCTACAGCTCTTGCAGGCCCAGCCATATTTTGCATTCAGACTGGCTAGAAAGCACACGTGCAGTCTTATCTGCAGATGACTGGCCAGCTGTGTCATGCCTAATCAAAAAGAAACACAGCCTTGTTGCAAGGCTGACTACTGATCAGTACTTGGAGAGCTCACAATGCTAGAAGCCAGAAGCACCATCAGGTTAGGGTATATGGTTTTCAGTCTCTGATTCTACTTTCCTTTCTCACTTTGCTTTTAAGGCATTACTGGTAGTTAGTTGATTGGTTATGTTTCCATCTCTTGAGCACAGTAGATTCTGTAGGTGAGCTGGTATTTAGCTGGTCAGAGTGAGTCTGCCTTGCAACAAAAGCTCCTGATATGTCCACAATCTTAGCACTGGATTCATAACAACCAGCTGCTAGTTACAGTGCATTAGTCTCCAATACAGCAAAGAAACACACCCAGACAAAAAGAGGACCTCTCTTGTTTAGTGTGTATCCCTTTATATAATTATGATCCTAATTCTTAACAGTGGATGTAGAATAAAACTTGAGTACTTGACTGATGAAAGAACCGAAAGCTGGAGTTCCTTACCTCCATAGAAAAATAGGAAAGCAACATGTTTCTGTGCAGGCTGCTGTCTGATGATTTTGCTATGGTACTCACAAGCAAGTGGTATCTTATACTTCTATTTTTATACCATTATTTTTTTCCACAGCAAGCACTCAACATTAACTGTACCAAAGCAGTTACTCTATTAGAGAAAAAAGATTACATATATATTTCTTTAACTTACATTACATTGTGTTCTATTTCAAACCCAGTTTTCCATCTATAACTTAGCCCTAGTTGTAGCAGAACAAAAATTCCAGCTTTTATGACAGAAGACTTTTTTGATCAATAGAAGTCAGCAGCAAAAGCATTTGTGGTTTTTCTCTGGAAAGCATTTGTGGCCACAGACTCAAAGGAGGAAGAAAGGGAGGGGGATTAACTCTTCAATGAAGGTCAAAAGCATAATTTAAAAGTGAACCAAGAGGAGCAGCTGTGTCTGTCAGCACAATCAAGATTACCAGCTGGAGAACTTACCAGCAGTATGAAAACAATGTGCACCAGATGTCAAATGTTGCAACTGTGAGTAGGAAAACATCTCTGGGCATGGTACTGTCATGCTAGTACTCATTACCAGATAGATTTCACATTTAGCATTTATTAATTAATAAGAATGACACTACCAGGAAGAAATAATAACATTTCCTTAGAAGCAGCTTTTGAGCCTTCCAGTGTAAGCCAGAAGCAGGTATGCACACTGTGATAATCTAACACTGTGCATTCTAGAAATTCTCCTTCTTCCACTGTGAACACAATATAACAAGTTTTAAATTTACTACTGAATACTAAAACATCCACAGCTCAGCTTGCATTAGTTTTACTTAGTTCAGTCTAGTTCAGTCTTTGAGTTTGGATTCTTTTCCAATAAAATGTAAAACCAATACTAAGAGAATAAGTGAGAACACACTATATTCAACTAGAAATAACTTGACATACGTAATGAAAGAGAATACTTCACTAACACCTCTACCAACACTTCCTTTACCAGCTTTTTACCTTCATTCTCCTTCTGGGGCATTCTTATATTAAAAAAAAAAAAGAAATTACCTTTCACTCCTCAAGTCAGACATCTGTTCCCAATGCTCCAGCCAGCAGTTACACCATTTCTGGTGTGTAAAATTATGATGTCAATTTTTTGTACATTTTTTTCTATTACTGTAATTATTATTTCACTTACATTCTCCATTAAAGTTATATCTCAAATGAAACACAGCATCCCCTAGCCCCCCAAAAAGCCAAACAAAAACAGAGAAAGATTTGAGTTTCAGAGTCCTCTCCCCCTTTACTGCCAATGACTAAACTTTGCTCCCTAGTGACACAAGAAGTACCTACATTTGGAGAGAGCCAACAAAATCGAGGACCTCAAATTCTTCTCTCTTCCAGGCTTTAAAATTAACCCTTCTTCAAATTCTCACTTCAGAAATCTGGAAGCCTTTCTTACTCTTATCTGCCGGTATCAAAGTCTTGGCAGTCATCTCCTATTTAAATACATGTAAGTATTGCAGAAAATACACAAACTCTGCCGTTACTTTAACATTGAGCCATCTTTTACCCTGGCTCTTTCCCCACTTTTGTCACTTCCTTTAACTGGTTCTGATTGTCCACTCTCAGCCTTAAATTGTCATATGTTATAGATGACTATGGAAATGATTATGTCTCCATTTGCAGCTTCCCCCATGATGATTCTCATTGTCCAAACATCTCTCTTACATATTCTAATTGGTACATGGTAGTACCTGCCTTTTTTCTCCATTCAGTGCTGTATTCCAAAGAAGACTTTGCTCCTATCCTCCTTGGTTAATCTCTACTGTTTGATGTTTATGATTTTTCCAGTTTCAACAGCTAAACTCAGTTTCAATTCTCATACAAAAAAAAAAAAAAAGGGGAAATAGTTATAGGAACATAGGAACTAGCTCAAAGCCTCTTTTTAGTATCCTCTCCCTATGTTCTTAGCGGTTCAATTCCTGTATTCGGAGAATGACATGCCCACAAAAAAATGCTGTACTATCCAATAAGTATAACCAAATCAGACAGATAAAACTATTCAAATATAAACTGACATAATACATACATCATTGTTAATTGCTGTAATTAAAAAAGGGAATCACAATGCTCCAGCCATAGATACACTGAATTTCTTCTGCACCCATTACTTTTTCCTTCTCTTCAAGACAATTTTTTTTAAAAACATATTTCCTATATAGATTCTCCTTAACTTCTGCACTCATTCTTACTGTATTACAACCTATTCTTCAAGTCTTACCTTAGCTTTGCCATCCTGTGCAGACATGTATCCTACACACATGCTCTCTGTTGTATGGCTCCACAGAAATTCCACTGCAATGAAAAATGCAAAGTGTCACAAAAATGCTTACAAGCTGTAATTTAACATGACAGAATCTTCCGAAACAAGACCAAGTCTGATCACCCTGACCTCCAGCACCAGCTGTATATAGCGTCAACTCCATGCTCACTGCTCATTGAGAACACAATGTTGAAGACCAACAATTCTGTGTTTGTAGTGATAATGATTTAGAAAACTAAACACTGGCAATATGTCCTGTTAATGCGTGTTAATCCAGAAATTATTTTTCTGATCTTTGAAAGTGGCCTCATTTACCAGTCTTTTAAACAACCCTTTACAGCAATCTTTAATTCTCTGACATGTACATGCACACATACCCTAAAAAATTCCAATGGAAAGCACATTATTCACATGTTTAGGTCTCATCGACTGGAGCTTTATAAAGAAGCCTTACAAAAATTAAGTAAGATGCTTTGAAAAGCTATTTTCACATATTTTATTATAGGACTTGTGTAACCTAAAAAGTGTACTTAGATATTGTTCAAAACGTAATTCCTTAATATTCCTCACATTCCTTTAGTATGATTGCTGAAGGTCATAGCATGCTGACTATGCTCATCCTTTGAGACATTTTTCCTTGCATAGTAATTAACCATTAGTAGAACATTAAATTTCTGACAACGCCAGTAGACTTGCAGATTCTGACAGACATCATTCTGTAGATATCATGACAAAAGAAAAATGAACTTCATTTAGGTATGTTATTTGCTTCCCTGTAATAGATTCACAACTGATATTACCGAAGTTTATCCAAAAATTTTCAGTGACATGTATTTAGTGCAATGTAACTGTGTTTCACACGGTCAATTCTTCCCTAACACCCTGAAGATTCAACTGTCAATTAAAGCATTTATTTTTTGCAGACAAAATTAAATTCACCTTTTAATTTTGAGAAGCTAAGCAACATTTCAGGCCACCTGCCCTCAAAGTATTTCTTTGTCTTTAGTAACTCTAGACACATTCTTCTACATTTTAAAGATTTGTTTTCCTTCTGCATTGTTCACCAAAGGTACCATACACTAGCCTGCAACATGACTAGCTATTTATTAAAAGCAATTGCATTGCAGTAAGATCCTACATTACATACTTAATTCTTTGAGAACATTTCAATCATTTTCAACTATTTAATAAATTTCTTTCTTGAAATTTATTTCAATAGTTTAAAAAATAGGAAAAAAAAATTCATGCAATGGAAACAAATGATTTCATTACTTTGTACACCAAGTTGTTAAGTATTACACAACTTATCTGCAATTAAAACAACGTAAGCAGTACATTAATTTAATTACTGTACATTATTATATGTATATATAATATGTACATATAATATAATATGTATATATAATATGCAACATATATACACATATATATGTTACATATATATATATAAATTATACATTTAATTGTACATTAAAAGGCAGAAATTTCTGCACACCAAAAAATACCTATATATAAGCTGTACTATGAGATTTTTCTTTCAGTGGAAAGAAAATGAAAAAAAGAAAAAAATCAACAGTTTTAATTTGCAATGTATGGAGATTTTCCTTATAAAATTTGAGGGAAAATATTCTGTCTTCCTTAATAGGAGCATCTTTTCTTACATCAAAGTCAAACATTAAATAGAAAATATTACTTTCACTACCAAGCGTAAGAAATTAAAGGCTGATTTTATTTGTTCTTGTTTAATTAGGCTTGCATTGTCATTTTCCAAACTCCTTTTTAAATGTAGAATTTATGTGGTGGGATTCTTTCCACTAGATTAATAACGGCATAATCATGTCATTCTTAAATTTGAAAACTGTAAATCAAACTTGCAACATTCTCTGCATGTTTAGCAACCCCATGTCCTGATTCAAGAGTCAGCATGAGACCATCTTTTCTTTCCAATAATTGAAAGACAATAGCAGAACTACTTAACAGTCTACTTTTTCAAAAAGACAAGCTGTTTAAGTAATAACTCCAAAAAATTTAACATACAAAATCTATTTCCTAATTCTTTTCCCATTCAAGATTTCAAAAGTCCCTTTGCTGTTCACCACCACTATCCCAGCAGTATTAAGTGAAAAATAAAGATTCATCTTGTAAATCTCTGGGTTTTTGCAAAAGCCAAACAAATGTACCTGAAACTCTTATGGAAGTCGTGTTTATTAAACACATAAAGTGCAAATCAACGTCGATTGCTGGATTGAGAATCATGAACACTACTTGCTGTCTTGAGCAAGATTACATACTAGAGTATATGGCTGCGCTGCAGAGTTTCAGTGGGATAAAAGTAGTAATGAATTAAAACAGTCTCTCTAGAGTATCCTATCAATTAAAAAGAAATTATGCAGTGCAAGAATTACCAGATGAGATGCTAAGACAAGCCTTAATACACAAAGTCAAATTAGGTGATCAAATTTGTCATATCAGATCCTAAAAGATACGACAGCTACCTCAAAGCTGTAATGGTTCTGACAGCTATTCAGGAAGCAATTGAGGAAATAAGAGAAGAGGACTGAACTAAAGGAAAAAGGTTTCATCCTGATTGTGCACATAATTAAATGCTCACATGACCAAATACATAAACACATGGTACGGCTGGACATAGATGCCCACATTTGGGGAGCACCACAGGAAAGCACATGGTATGAGTGGCATGTCAAAATAATTCATGGACTTTACTGCTTCTGGGCCATATTTCCACCCACCTCTGCTAGTAGTCTAACAGAGGTCAGTTTCCTAGCTATTCCTCTACTAAGGAAAACTACTTGTTTCCTACAGTACACTTGTTCTGCTATAAAGCGGTGAGATGGGTAAGTATCTTTTTTTTTTCAAGGATATATAGGGCTGAAAGGCTCAGAGCTTTTTTAACCAGTCAGCTATTGATGGAGGCAAAGCAGTTTTCTGCTCATCACCATACAAAGAAGTAGTCTTGTTATGTGTGTAAGCAAACAGAACTGCAGCTTATCTGAAGAGATTTTCCTAGGCATAACAAAAAGAATTTCTAGCTATAAAACTATTTTCCTTCTGAATTTTAAATCTCTTCTCTCCATATGCATGTTTCATTCTGAAAAGAGGAAGAAAAAATAAAACTTTAGATCACATGTTTGACACTGAGCCACTGGGAAGCAATAAATGAGCATATGCATTATCCCTAGCTGAAAATAAGATTGTTTGCAGAGCGTATCCTGCCACCTCAAGCAACCATTATTTCTATGCCATGGTCTTAGAGGGATTCAACTATATTAACAGATCAGACAGAGTGCTCTTTTCCACAATTTTCGAGGACAAACAAGGCATATATTGTTATTTTACTTTCTAAGGTTTTACAATCTCAAACAATTTGTATGCATTTTTATTCCTGTGGCTTCTAAACAACAGCAAACATTCAACAACAGTTTTGTTTAATCTTTTACCTTGATTTAGCACCAAACCTCAAGCAACAATGAGTAAGGAAATATTACCTAGTAAAGTTGGCTTCTCCTGTGATAATTCAGGTTCTGCTGAACACCTGCAAGACCGAAGAACTATCACACCTCCAAGAACACCATCTTCACTGGCAAGGAAAGGTGAACCTGGACAAAATTGTCATCAATAATTATTTGCAGTAGGATTCGTTTCTTTCATTAGATAATTGTTTAATCAGTTTATTTAATCTTATCACTAACGATTGAAAAGACTGTCGAGGCCAACTGCTGCTTTTACAAAAGCAACTTCATTTTTTTTAATGAGTAACTTTCTACATAGGTTTAATGGTTCAAAAAAACCTATGCATTCCATAAATGCCAAAGATCCCAGGGCAGCCTTAGAGTGAAAGCCTGAATATTCTTTATTTAATTCAAAGCAGAATAGAAAACATCAGATTCATGCAAGAAAGAATATCTGAAACTTAAGTAGCTATTAACTTTGCTCACCACTTTCTGAGCAGCTTTACACTCTCTCTTCTCTGTAGATGGAAACAATGCAGAACTTTGAATTACAGAAAAATTATATGCCATGAACTTTTTCTGCTGCTGCTACAGTTTTCTGCAGACATTGCAAATCTGAACATCCCAAACTTGAAATCTAGAATTCAGTCTGGATTCTAGGGCAAGTCACAAATTCTCAGCACATTAACATTAACATCAGATCAAATATCTCTCACACAAGAGGAAAGTGCAAAAGATGGCCAGGCTGTGCCATGAGACACTCCAACCTCAGGCTGCTCTGAAAGACCCAGTGAGTTCACTGAAGCCCCCCTTCCAAATCTGACATCAGTGAAACTGTATCAACGTTCTCTTTCTGGCAAACCAATCTAATGCAGATCACAATTTTTCACTTTAGCACAGGCAGTTCAAAAGCAAATAATTTACCTTTTCATGTAGGATTCAGGACAGTCGGAGGCACATCTTAGAAACTTAAGTTCAACTGTTGGGCTATAGAAATCTTCCACTAATTCTAAAGAATATCTCCCAAACTTGCTCCATTTCTCTAGTTTCAGATGAATCTATCCTCTTTAGATTTTAATTCTCAGTGACATTATCCATTTATAATCTTTAGAAATGTATTACTGACAGGAAATCGTATTCTGTGTACTGAAATCAAGGATACTGCATGTGAACCTTCAAGATCCCCCACACCTAACAGACAAAGGCACAAACAAAGCTTCATGACTTTGAAGATACATCATGGAAGCCAGCTACACATCAACAACCAGAAGTTGTTTTCTAAGACTCCAAATATAGAGAGTACCAATATGTATGGTTCATACATCACATTTTCATTGCCTTTTCTGGCATCATTCCAGACTCAAATTACAGTACCTGAAAGCAGATACTAACACTTAGGAATTCTGCTTTATAACATTTTTTAAATAGAATGCAAAAAGATACAGTTCTTCAAAGTAAATGACTCATGGCACAGTGTATCAGTGATCAGAAAGGGAAAAAAAGCTACACTGAATAAATAAAAATTGGAAGTTACATTTGTGTGCAAACCCATTTGTTCTTGGACTAAGGGAGTTATAATAACAAGAAATGGATTGTCAAGCAGAAAAAAAAAACATGCCTCAACTTCTATTTCTTTTTGTTCTATAATTAATATAAAGATGGCCACATGTGAAAAAAATCAAGCAAATTTGGGTTACTTTCATAATTAATTCATTTTTTCCCAATTCAAAGTACTCTGTAGAGAGATACAATCCAACTGCTACACACAATCTTTCTTACTGCTTTATAAATATTAGCAGAAATGTCTACTTTTTCAAGTGGCTTTTCTGCTGTTAATTTAAGACATAAGATATAAAAATATTCTATCAGAAGCTGGAAAAAGTTTTAAAGTTAGCTGAATCAAGTCTAAGTATTCTTTTTCTGGTTAGTAACATGAAATGAGATTCCTATAGTTTTAAATAGGAAAACAATGGCATTATTTATGCATGACTTAAAATGTCTAGAGCTGCAAAATTAACCAAGCACTTGCACTGCAGCCAAAATAGATCCTGGTCACATATTTCCAAAAAGCAAGTTTGTACTGTGCAGACAGAGCAAGGATGATGGGATGCATTCTTTCTCTCATACAGGTGGAAACAAATCCCACGGCTGCTCCCTCACCCATTCCAGCTGCTTTCACCAGCAATTTCAGCTGAACCACCTCAGAGTAAAGCAACAGCAACAAGGAAGGTGCCTCCGTTCCTGCACTAGCTAAGTTGTGGCCCACCATCCTCTAACTAGTGACAGCAAAAAACAGTTGCCTACAGTAACAGCATCACAGCGTTCTACACAACAGTAAATTCAGAGAGACTGCTTCTCCTCCCTTAAAATCAGATCTAAGCCAAACCAAATACATGCTGAGTTGTACATTCTTTAAAACAGAATGTATTTTATTTTCCAATTAAAGCAATTTCTTTTAAAAAGAGGGGTTCAAATATATTAATGAAAGATGTACATCCATTAGCAAGCTTCTGAAAATAATGGTAGAAATACAGTATTATACTTCACTTCTAAATACAATTAATGCAGTGTACATAGGAAATAATTTGAGTATTCTCAAAACACTGTGAATTCAAACATTATGAACATATGTCATTAATTCACTTCTAAAAATGATTTTATTATGGCCGAGCCTTCAAGAAACAGGACGAATAGACCAGACTTTTGTAAAATAATAATAATATTAACAACAATGATGTTGATAATGGCATTTTTCATATATATATGTATGTATGTATGTATGTATGTATTAAAAAATAAACAAATTTGTTTCTAATTAGAAAGGTGAAAGCTGAAACTGAGCAACTTTCATGTATGTGAAAGCCATCACGGTGTCACATTAGAAGGGAAAAGTGATCTGACTTCTGTGTTTCTGCATGAGCTTTTCTCTCTCTGTACTTTTAAGAATGACAGATCTTGCTAAACAATTTAAAAAATCAGTGAAAACAAAATATGCCTACTACTCAAAAATATTTTTAATTGCAATGATTGATCTCATAGCTTGCTAATCACAAAGCTACAAAAACATGGGCAGTATCAGTGGAAATGAAATTCACTGTTCCATTTTCATTTATACTGGTGTAACACTGAAGATTTTGGCAAGAAAAATCCAAAGCAAAACTTGTAGCAGGGCATTAGAAAATAATGCAAGCTCTTACTGGTCACACCTGAGAGAAGGGGTAGTAAAAACCAACCGAATAAAAATATATTTTAATTCTCACCCCCTTGAATCACAAAATTATGTTTTATAGATCAGAGCTCCTTTGAAGCTCAACTATTCTGTTATTACTGACACATGGTGCTTTCCATGTTTTTAGTTATATATTTTGTATGTTATTAATCTGAAATAACAGTCTCTTAAAAAGAAGCAAATATCTTCACAGCAGCTCACTGATTCCATCACGTTCTGGAAGAGCAACCATAGCTGAACACCAAGACCCAGTTTCAGCCTCAGAACTGGGCTGAAGCAATGCAACGAAATTTTACACATAAGCACCTTCCAAACTGAAGAGCACTTAGTCCAAACCATACAAATGTATTTTTAGGATATGACCAACACGTGCTAATCATTTCTGACCCGGTGCTGCTTCCTGATTTGAAGCTACTAGACAGACGCAGTCTAGCACAGATCTGATATTTAGAAGTAAAAGAAGTGTTTTCTTTACAGTTATCCAGCTGAAGGACTAACCAGTTGTTCATCAGATGTCTGCTATTCATAGTCTTCTATAGCACAGAAACCATGACCAGCTTCCCTGTTTACATTAGCGTTCAAAGTCTTCAGAACTTTACTGTGAACACTGAACGCGGAGTGGTGGAACCAATTAAGTGCTGTAGCATCCTCCAACTAAACAGTTCTGTATCTTCTTGTGCATCTTTCACAACATGAGTGAAATTCAGATTTTCTTAGGTCCATATTCACCTACATCACTGCCCCTCGTCTGTGCTTCTGCTATGTATCACACTATGTATCAAGCTAACAACTTAAATAAAGATTAGAGGAATACATGAGCACTAAACTAAGCCAGCTTTTACTTTAATGCAGTGTCATTTGTGAAATATTCAAGCACAAGCTGTCTGAAACCGTAGATTTTGTATTTTATGATAATAAGAATTTAAAACTTCAGTTTAAAATTTTTAAAGAAGCTGCAAGGGAAAGCATCCCTACTTCAAACTTTACAAGCAAGATTTTAAGAAGTTAAATATAAGGAGATACTGCTATCCAAAAAAAAGCCCAGCGCTCTTAGTAAGGAGAAGCACAGACAGGACACAGACAAACCTGAGTGTAACACAAACACGTAGCGGTAGTTTTTTAAGAGGGTTTTATTGCATTGATAAGCATAGAGCAGAGCTCAATTGCATGTCTGCCATCACACACAAACTTGAAATCTTAACCTTGCAGTGGATGAAATATGCTACATGAAACTTCAGGAACACTTCATTCTTTTCTCAAATCTTTCTCTGTATCACAGACAGAAAGAATATTAATGCTTCCATAGCACGCTCCTTCTGCTTTCTGGAGGATACTACCATGCTTAGAGTGAGGCAGCATCTCAGTACAAAGCAATAACAACACTGTAACAACAGTCGCTGCCACTCTAGCAACAGTTTAAGCACAAACATTTTTCAGCCTGTCAGCTAAACTCGTAATTGGGAAATCTATGCTCTCTGATTCCTAACTGTCCAAGCTCCTTCTCCCAAGGGAGGCGTTTGGCACAAGACTTCTAAAAGGGAAAGTTTCAGTGTCATCATGGTTTATAACCTTTCTGTAGACACTGTTCATCTGAGAACTGAAGTATTGCTTATAAGTACAAGAATAGATTAGGACTTTTCTTCTAAAGGAAGAACAAATATCAGGGTCCACCCATGTATTTTAGCTCATTACTTTCCAAAACCTTATAAGAAACTTTAAAGTAGAATTCAAAACGCTGCCATTGCTAAAAGCCTAGATTTCCCGCCAGTGAGATGACACAAACATTTACTCTAAGTCTACATTCCACAAACTTGGCCATATTTGAAAGGAATGATGAGTAACAAAATCCTCTGTTCTTCTGTATGGAAGATATTTCTGTTTACAGAGCACCATTCTTCAACGGCTTTAGCATTCTCCTACAGAAGACATCAAGCCCACTCAACTTAGAAGCAGCTGAAATTTAATTTCTCCCACCACTGTTCTAACCATCAATTGAGCATCATTCATAGCAAGTTGGCCCTGAGAAAGGATGAGACAAGCACATCTGCCATTAATTTGTTCATCACCTGCTGTTTAAACAGCACTCACTGTTTAAGCCAGGCATTCCCTAGCTGGAAGGATTCCCAGGAGTCTGTGGAGATTTGAAGAGTTCTGTAAACAGGAAGCACCAATCTGATGACAACTGCCAAAATCAGCTGTTCCTCCCTCCAATACAAGTAACACACGTTCTAACTTCTGACAAAACATTCCAGCTCTGCTTTGTTAGAGCTATTAATTTTTTTTGGCCTTGGTCCATCATAATTCTGGATAAATCTTGACAATGCCACAAAATAGGGCTTTAGAAAAGACTATCAAGGAAAGAATCCATGCCATTAGCAAGCAGGCTAGTACATTGTTTCATCTCATTTTATTGTTTAGGAACGGTAAGTAATTCTGAATCATGCCACACATCTTGAGGCAAGAAATAATACATCGACATCTATGGACATCGACAGGAAAAAAAAAACCTAAACAACAAACTATTTACTACCCAATGTTTGATGTGCTAAGTATTTTTTCAGCTCTTGCATTCTATTAGCATGATATGACTTTGCATTACATTTTCAAAACTGCAAAGTCCCTCAAAATGGCCCAATTTGCTACAAATGTGAGCGTAAACATGTTACAGATAAACAACGAATGTATATGGATTTTGAAGCCTTCTTAATCAGTCTTCATTCACAGGACAGCTGAGGGCAAACTAGATTTCTTTTTTCTAATCAGAACACAGAATTCAAGCTGAATCCCTTTTTTTCATTTCAATCCTACCCTGAAACACCACTGAGAAAAACGTAATACATATCCCTACCGATGGATAACAAAATCCTGCAATGACAAGTTTTGAAAATAGAAATAAGACCTATAGTTAACTAGCATGAGAAATTACAAAGAGGAATTATAAAACACTTTTCCTCAAGCTTGCCTACCACGTAAAGCATGAATTTGATCCTGCCTCTCCCACTTGTCACTTCCCACAACTTCTTGTTTTGTTGTTTTAAGTCTGTTTTCCCAAGGCTACACGATATTGCACTGTTAGCCCAGTATCTCTGTCTGTCCAGCTCCTCTTTCTCTGTAATTGATAGTTTCAGGTATAGCAAAAAAGCTAAGCAACATTCAATATGTTCTTAAGTCCAGTATAAATATTTTCATCAAAGAAAATAATTCATATATCACATAACAGCCAGTTTGCATTTAAAACGAAAACATGTGCTAAGCAAACTGATGCAAAGTATATTCAAAATACATTCAAAGGGAGAAAAAAAGACTCATAGCAACTTGAAAAAAGAACCTTGACTAAACAGTTCTCGAACTTCTCCATCTTTTATCAGCCAATTTCTATGGAATGCTATTAAGTAGTATTTTATTAGTAGCTGTTATTAGTGCTCACATGCCTGTGTTTGTTAAAATGAAAGGAAATTAGGATATTCTAGATGCATGTTTCATTCTGGTTTGACACAACAGCACAGCAAGTTTAGAGAGTATGGAGACCAAAAACCTGGTTCTCCTGAAGGCAGGTCACTTGCATATAGTACCTGCAGTCACTAATTGTGACACTATCAGGTCTCATTTCTGAAGACCTCTTAGTCATAAATTCCTGATATTCTGTGCTGACAGATTCCTGATTTCCTGCTGTGGAATAAGTGATCAAATTAAAAAGTTAGATTTGTGCTACTTCAATTATAATATATTTGGAAAAAAATACTAAAATTCTGCATTTTCACAGCACCTAAAAATGACTGCAGTACAGCAGCAGACTGTTAAGCACAGCCTTCTAGTGTGAAGACAGCTCTTTCTCTAATAGTCAAACATAACACTGTCAGAATGAAAATTATGAGGTCAATTTCATAATGTAAATCACAAACCAGAATCTGTCTATTCAATTAGAACCTGCAGGGGCTTTGAGGTCTGCTATATTTAAAAGGGTTAACATGATGAACAATTTTTATTACCGCTGCTGAACCACCTCTGAAGCATGCAATTGCACACCACAGCCAATGATTCAGACAGGAAATTCTTCTTTCAAACCTCTCCAGTTATTCTCTGACTCACATATCAATTGAAAAATTTCCAAGGGCTTTCCTTTAGGTTTCCTAAGATATTCTTCTGTACTTCGATTTAACATTGTTAAAACGTAACACAATGCTAAATCTGAAGCCAACCACATAAGGTTTCAAGAGAAATCACAAAAATAAGCATGCTACCTTTATTTAATAGGGTTAATTGCATTTTGAGCAATGTTGTGAAATGCTTAGGCAATTAGTACCGGATACTTACCAATAAACTTGTTTTGCATAGTCTCTAGGAGAGCTTGGTGGGCATCCTCTGTTTGCAAAGCACAAGAACATTCTCTGGCCAGTATGGTTCGGACAAGGTGCTCTCCACAACCTAGGCAAATATAAAGTTTAGGAATAGTCAAAATATAGGTTGTACTATGAAAATACTCTATCATTATACAACATCACAAGCGGAAAAAATAAAAGGTGCATATGACAGGTATCTGCAATTTTTTTTATTATTTTTTAAGAGAATGATACTGAGTCACCAGAAAGTTCAATTACACCAGCAGTTTCCCCTGCAGCTTTCCTGAAGTTTCTACTGCACAAAGACACAAACCAAAAAAAGGTTAAATTCACAGAGAAGAAACAATAAAACTGCCTCTGGGTTGTCATCTTCATCTGGATCCTGCAACCTCTGTCAACCCACTGACTAGTCATTCTCACATGAATGATCCTTGGGTGTGCACAATAAACATTTTTAAAGGATTAATCTTGTAAAAATGACATCTTTAAATCAAGAACATCTTTAGTGAATGCCACAACAACTCCTTTGCATGATCCAGTCCGTCTGATTCAGTCTTCTGTCAGTAAAGGAATAAGTGAACCTATATACAGCGTGTTATTTTGTCAGTGTATCTCCTCATTTGAATATTAGTAAAAATTCGTATCATTTTCAAAGGCTTATCTTAAAGGAACTGAAAAATGAAACTTGCCCATGAGGAAAACTACTCAGCCATTAGTGCTACTATGTAGGAGCACTTTCATGTCTGCTGTTTTTCTGCCGTGCTATTTTCCATTCCAGCAACATTCTTCAGGACAGAGAGCTGCTGTCAATGCTCAATTGGTACAGTGAATGTTTACTGGATAAAAGTCTTCCTGGATGTGGAAACGCATTGGTGATACCTTCAAGATACAGGCAGAAGTCATTCTACTGCTGTGCTTCCCACTCACATTTCCTCAGTGGCAAGAAAGTAGATGAAGCAGCTAGTGCCAAGTGCCAGTTAAAATCAAACACACAATCCAGTGAGAAAAAAAACTGCCTGCTGTGATATGACAATGGTTTTAATAAACTATAACGAGGTGACTGCAGTTTGATCAGATGTGCAACATCAAAGTATATCATGACCAAAAGCCAGTTAGGTAGCAGAACATGCGAAGCAGAATACGCAGAAGTCAAATACAGTCAATTCCCAATTATCCCTATATGTTTCTAGCCAATTCCTCAGTAACCACAAGGATGCAAGCACGATCTGTCTCCATAAAAAAAAACAAACAAAAAAACAACACAGCTCTAATCTAGTTGGCCGTACTAGCTCAGGTGTAGAGCTACACAGATGCACTACACAGTTCCCAGAGACAATCTATGGCTGGAAGTCACCTTATTTCTTTCACGTAGCACAGAGTCAGAGCTGGTGAAGCATTGGACCTAGGCTGGCTCAAGACAAAAGCAGCTCAGTCTCCATGGGTACCTTTCACTTTACTGGAAGCATGAACAAGCCCTGAACAGAGGAAACTGAGCGAGTCTGGATGAAGACAGCCTATATCTGGCACAAAGAAAGAACAAATAAATCCAATCCAAGCTGCCTATTCTGCAGCCAGCTGCGTGCCTCATCTCTGTGCTTCCCAATGTTCTGAGTGTGGAGTACTGATGGCTTTGGACACACCACTGCATAAACACTCGCAGGCAGGTTTAGCACTGACTCTTGGAGCTCCCACTGGCTTCTTGTTCTTGCCAGTGCTTCTGTGACCCAGTTAACACAGCAATCTTCTCTAGGAATCTTCCTGGTAACTTGGCACTTAATTATATCCTTCCCCTAAAAGGCAGAAGGAGTTCCTCAAAACTGCTAAAATATCAAGAAAAAAAAGACAAAAAAAGATTCTTTCACTCCCTCAACATTTCCATGATTAAAAAAAAAGAACAAAAAAGGCCCTTCTGGAGCTTTATTAGATTTCTTTATTTTCTGGAGCATTAGAAGTCACTGAAAAAGCACAGAGATCAGACAGCAGAAAAATTTTGGCTACACATCCCAAAATCTTGCATTTTCCATCATCAAATTCCCACCTTAGACTTCAATTATGCCCTCCTTCAAATGGGCAGTGTCTCCTAGTCAACAGAATTAAATTACATTGAACTGTTTGAAGTGGGGTACTCTGGCATTGAATCTACATGAAACTGGCACTACAGAAAGACCAAAAATTCTTTGTATAGCAAACAGATTAAGTATAAGGCAGTTATAAATTTAGAGGAAAATGAAAGAGCTAAAATACTATAGCAATTACATAGCAAAGGCAGACAATTCTTGAGAGCACAAGAGGAAAACGTTTTCACAGAGACTGCCAAACTCTCTAGTTATTGAGAAAAGTGTCCTGGCTAGGATATTACCTTCAAGAGGATCACACAATAGTGTCTTCAACACCACTTAATGGAGAGTCTGTCAGTTCATTGCCCCTGGTAAATCTTTGTCCACAATACAACTGAGAGTTATCTCATATTTATTGAAGGCAAGTTAATGCATCAAGAACATGCAAAAGCTGTTTGATGTATTTTGCCCGTAGATGACAACACAGCTTTTTTTTTTTTTTTTTTTAATGAATAAAACATATTATTATGAAGTTTAGCTGTAAAGAAAGAAGCTAAATAAGGATATATTCCAGTAAAAAGCTAGCAAATTGACTTTTTCTCAATCAACATTTGTTAACACCTTTACAGATAAGATTTACACTCAATTTAAGGTAAGAAGCATGGGGCTTGGAGTTGAATCAACCAAATGAGAAACAAAAATAAGAGCAAGATTATGCATCTCTAAGTAGTAATAAAAACAGATGTTACAGAATTTAACTAATTCCTCAATCAGCATCAAAAAGACAATGGGCAGTTTCTAGCGTGATGTATTATCTTATTTTACCCCAAGAGAATGACTTTATTGAAGAGTTCCCAAAACATCAAGTCAGCTACATAAAAAAATTAGAGAGATGGAAAACTTCATATGGGCTAAGAACAGCTGCAGCCCATTGATGTGATCCAGGATGAACCACAAGGAAAGCAGCCTTGCAATTCTACTAACACATCACACATCTCTACATCCCCACAGACAAAGTGATTTTTTTTGTTGTTGTATTTATGTCAACCTACAAGGCAGTAAACTTACAGACTGCTGCTGGCAATGCAAGTAAAAATCTTTCAGCACATCACATGCCAGCAATCTGGAGGGACAGATAACTAATGAAAACAATATCCCCAACTCCAATTTTTAAAGGGAAAAATTTCTTCCTTCAGTTTTTAAAGTAGGAACATCTATTTTTGAACAGCAGAAGTAAGTAAGTAGTGTTTCCCATACTCAGAACAGATCAAGATTAGGAAAAATAATTATCATAGTTATTATTATAATATATGATAAATTTATCATATAAGTATGATAAAATTATTATCATAGTTATCACGATAGAATTGCACTTCCTCTTAAGTTAGAACCAAATACGTCAGTGTGAACTGTCTACAAGTTCAGCAGACCAAGACGTCTCTGTTGTCTTAAACTGGGAAAATACTGCAGATTACGCTATGGCTAAACACAAAATGAATGCATAAGAATTACAGCAGTCTAAACCTGATTTATAACATACAATACAAACTGTGGGCTCACATTTACAACTTCATTCACTTGTAACCTAACCAGCACCAGTGTGAGCCAACTTGAGAAAGGCTTATATTAACTTGAACCAAGACAGCGACAGAGCTTCCCAAATCATGCACATATGCTAGTGGAAATGCAAGTCTGCTTCATTTGCTTAAATATCTCACATTATGCAACCTTTAATTATGCGTCTTCCTACACTCCAGAGTTCTTCACAAAATTACACTGAAATCAAACCAACAGGGATTCTCTAAGAACTTTCAATTCTGCACTGAAGTTCAACTACGCTTGTTTTAGTAACTTTTCTGTAAACAGAGACTAAATCATTTTATTATCCCTTCCCAGTCAGGATGATGACTTCTTTGGTAACCTAAGGCTCATTGTATCTTAGAGGTAAACAATTTGTAGGACAGACTACAGTTTCTGTAAAACTTCACACAGGAGTGAGTCTAATGAAGATGACTATCTGGAAAAACGTACTGAGTTACCCTAGTGCTTCTCAAAGAAAATCTGTTTCATGTAGTAATCAAAGTATTTTCCTAACACAGTAATATTGTTCAAACACCATGTCACCTTCTGCTGTCCATGTTTGCATGTGCAAGTTGTTATTCTTCGGGATTACTCTAGGCAAAGTGTGCGAAATTCTGTTGGGATAAATGAACAAATAAATCAAAAGACAGATAAAGAATAGTGTTTCAGTGCAAGTTCCTAGCCCCTTGGGTTAAGAGGAAATGAATTTAAAAAACAGATTCCTAAAGGCTCCAAAGTCATGTCAGGAACAGTCTACTACGATATAGGGACAGTGCACAACAGGTGTAACACTTACTTCACACTTAAACCAAAAGATCTGAAAACTCAAAGAAACAAACAAACCATATCCAATCCTGCTTCATTAAGTTATATCTCACACTTAAAAGTTTCTAATCCTGTCTGAAAATTGCTTTACCCCTGGACATGATATGAAAAGCAACAGAACTGATTTTCAGAGACAGACCATCTTGGATCGTGCCATAGAACAGCTTCTGATGTAGTGTTTCTTTCAAACTGTAAAGCTGACCAGACATTAAATATTACTTCCCTTTTCTGTGAGTATTGAAATGTGTCATCTCTGAGAACACCACTTTTCCTGCTTAGGCATTCCTCACTGATTCATACAAGATCCCCACAAGAACAATCAGAGAATCTATAGCCTCCTTTTTTCTCCACAGTATCTCTTTCTTCTGTTAACTTATTATAATTTAGCATTTGTGTATGTATCAGTAGTTCTCTCAAATTACTACCTCAGCCAAAAAAACCACAGAAAAACACAAAGCTCCCAACGAGCCTAGAGCACAGCAAGATGGTCCTTCCTGCACTCCATAGCCATGAAGCAGATGTTGCTGATCAGTGAATCACAGATCAAGCAAACCAGAAGTACCTGTTACATTGTACTGTGGTGTGCAACAAGTGAGACACATGCTGTTCTGCAGAAAAAGAA